ATTTCTAATATTATTTTCCGCTGCAACTCTGCGTATGATGTGTATTTGCTTAATCATACGATCTTGGTTGTGATGTTGATTTACTGAGGTCCTTCATGACACTCGGCGGACTACCGGGTTTACATAAGTGAAAGTATACGCGTGTAAACGTGTTAGCGGGGACAGCCGTACTTGATCTTGTATAAATTGGACGGTTCTATCACACAAGAAATGCCCTATTCACTTCCTTTTCAAGCACCTTTGCAAATGGGGTTACTTTCAATTGATATTTGGGCCTTCTCCATGCCACCTAGTGCTAAGTTTGACAAGTGTGCACCATACCTAAATCATTAGACTCACCTAGGCTAAGCTACTAGTTCATACCCCCATTTATAGTACTATCAAAGGAAAAACAAAGTTCTAAACCAATCTAAGGGTGCGTTTGGTAGAGATCCAGATTCTTATAGAAAAGTTTTGGATCCAGAGTCTCAAGAAATGTTTTACATGACAAATCAGAATCATTTTATGAAACCGTTGGGCTAGTAGACCAAATTCTGATTCATACCAATATATTTTTTCATAAAAATTGTAGAAATAAAAATATGCTTCAAAAAATTCTACTTTTGTGTGGACAAAGAACAACTTAAATACATCCCATTTTAATTTATTGCATTAGAAAAGAATTAACTAAAAGTATCAAATAAAAGTAGGAAGCACCGAGAGGGGAATCTATGCGAAACCAACCTCTTGCCGTTTCGCGTATACGTGTAAAAATGTTGGAATGTTTCTATTTCAAATCACCAGCTGGAAGTATCGTTTGGTGCCGATCTTGTGATTCGCATTAGAAATAGAAATGTTTCTCCTATCCAAAGGGGGGCTAAGAGGTTGTTTGGTTGGCAGCCACCATTCGCCATGCCTAAAGTGAGGCTCGCCATGGTTGCTTAGGCGCCTGTTTGGTTAACGATCGAAGCAAGGCTCGCCACACTCCAAAGAAGTTCTCACCACAGTTTTCTACATCAAATATGTGGTGTGTTTTCCTCCGCCTCCGCCACAACTCTGTTGCCACAGTGCCACCCCTCCTGTTGCTATGTGGCCACCCTGCCATCCCCGCCACCCCTTTAGGCCTTCACCATGAGCCCGCCCTCGGTGGCCATTGGCTGCACGGGTCCCAGTGCACCACAACAGCACCGCGCTCAACCGCACTCAACGGATCAGAGTTGAGGACGATGGCGGGGCAAGGGCGCACGACTGCTGCCTTGTCCTAGTGCGGCCGCTGCGCGTCCGTGTCCCCTTGAGCACCAGGCATATCACGAGTTGTGGGTTTTAACTGGACTCCTATCTAAGCTTTGAGCTCTACTGGTGGCCGACCATGGCGGATGGAAGGCTATGGCTCAAAGCCACATCGGCTGCCTAATATAATGGGGTGGGTAATGGATAAGATCGTCTAACAATGGGCTGCTGGCCCACATGTAAGTGGCTTCCTTCATGAAGAATCCAATAGCTTCTAGTACTGATCTATTTGTTTATTCTATGGACTATATGATTTTGTTGATGATTATTTACCATGTTTACTAATGATAAAAATATACACTGCCTAATGGAAGAGAACACCGAAATTTTATTGATGATTATTTACCCTATTTACTGATGATAAAAATCTATTTTTGTTTATTTTATGGGATGATTTGTTTTCTATAATTTCTTGAGAGCTAAGCACATGCTTAATGCTATGATTAATTACCTACATCGTTGTTTGCTATACTTAACAAAAGCATATAGTTTTCTTGGACAAAGGTGTACATATGAAGTTTGATTTATCACATGTCAAATATTTGTGGCAATCTCCTAATGAATAGAATTGTGGCATTTTAACCAGCTGTGGCCACAATCCAAATGGCTACCACAACTTTTTGCTTAAAATTTGTAGTAATAAACCAAACAACAGCCACATTATTTTTGCCACATCTTAGTTGTCAACTAAACAGTCTTAATTTATCATATAATGTGGCTAGCCACAAGTGTGGCTTGTACCTAACCTTAGGCGTGGTAAACTGTGGCTGGCAACCAATCGGGCCCTAAGTGTCTCCTAACTTCAAATGACATTTAGAACTAGTCCATCCTTAACCTTGTGGTCCATCCTTTGAAAACTAAAATAAATTCCATCAATAGGGCATGAAAATCATTGATTTCCGAAACAATCATTATAGTGACCTAACTCATAATGCCTCTCCAAAATATACGTTAGTTATAATAATTTGTGTAATTATTAATCACTGAAACCAAAGTATGGGCCTAGATATTTTCACATGTTTCGGCATGGATTCTATCCAACATGGGGTTATAAATTGAAGATTATGCCCATGACTACTACTTAGTGGCTAGGTTTAAGGCAACCTATGAAGATAGAATTGAACCTATCCTTGGGGGTGTTTGGCTGCATGCAGCTAAATTTTAGCTGCTATCACATCAGATGTTTGATATCAATTAGGAGGATTAAACATGAGCTAATTCGCAAGATGAATTTTTTAAGCCTAATTAATCCATGATTAACCCATGTGATGCTACAGTAAACATGTGATAATCATATATTAATTAGTCTCAAAAATTCGTCTCGTGAATTAGTCCGGGCTTGTGCAATTAGTTTTATAATTAATTTATATTTAGTCCTCCTAATTGGTATCAAACATCCGATGTGATAGCAGCTAAAATTTAGTTGAGGCATCCAAACAATAGTCTAGATACGAAACGATAGCCTGTTGTGGACTTCAAAGTCTACCAACCTTTGCTGGGCAGAGGAGCTAGAAAGTCTAAAGGTTCAAAGGACAAGAGGATGCATGGAGAAAAGGCCCACACAAAAGAAGGTCAAATGTAAGAGATGTGGAGATTTTGGCCACTTTGCAAAAACTTGCAAACTGGCAAAGATTGGAGAAGATGGTGAGAGAGCTCCACCTAGGAACAAGGCTAACAAAAGGTATACTTCATGTACAACAATTACTGAACAATACCCTAAACTAATGTGACCTTGACAATGTAGGAAAGAAGCTCCAACAGAAGAAGCTAGTCCTTCGCAAGCGAAGAAAAATAAAGTGTAGAAGAAAAAGGAAGACACCCCAAAAAAGAAGGCACCCATCAAGAAGAAGCAAAAGACGGCTACAACCAACCCACCAACTGCTGTTGTTAGTAGCACAAGAAAGCTAGTGTTTGAAGACTTGAGCTTGTGAGATGGTTATCTGATTGGCACTATGATATGCTTTTGTAATAATTTAAGAACTTGTACCATATGCTAGATTCATTTGGAACTTTGTAGTTGGTATGCTAGAGTGTCATGGTTGAACCAGTGAAGTATGGCAACCTTATTGCCATTTTATTTTTAACCTCTGTGAACATAGAAACTTCATTGCACTATCATGTTCAGTGAAGTGTGGCAACCTGAGAACTCCTTTCTTAGTGCAAAATATGTGTACCTTATGTAATGTTGATGCTATAGCCATGGATCATTGTGTGTTGAACCAGTGAAATATGTGCAAAATTTGTGTTCCTTGTGTACCTCGGAATTTATAGTTGCCATCAATATGCACACTATCATGTTCAGTGAAGTGTGGCAACTTGAGAACTCCTTTCTTAGTGCAAAATATGTGTAACTTGTGTAATGTTGATGCTGGCCATGGATCATTTTGTGTTGAACCAATGAAATATGTGCAAATTTTGTGTTCCTTGTGTACCTCAGAATTTATAGTTGCCATCAATATGCACCTATGATTGAAATGGACATGTACATAAGGTTCTCTTTGGTTCTATTTCATTGCTCTATGCACAAATCATTAAGAACTCATGTTATGTTTAGTATGGCAACCCGAGAGCTCATGTATGTGAATGTTTCCTATGTTTTACATGACAAATCATGAAAAATATGCTTATAAAAAGGGACAATTAGATTTCACATTGACTTCAAATAACATTACATCGTAGCGTCAAGGGCAAAAGGTGATATGATTCCAACATTACATGACAACATCACTTCCACATTTTGCATAGAACCACACCCATGACTACGACTACACAACTGCTAATACAACATACTCCATCTTCTTCTACACTTGCACATGCAAGTTTCAAAGATTGTCCACAACACTGTCGGGCTTTTCCTTCACTTCATCCAGTTCTTCCTTCAGGTCATGATCCACGACCAACATCAACTTTAGTCAAATGGCTACTCTTCATTACACGTAGTTGGCGATCCTCTAATCCTCGTGCCAATTTATGATACTATTTCTCATACACTATGAAGCCACAAGTTGCTAAACCGTCCTGTAAGGAATGAAATCATAGCCGCGTCAATGCCATCACAAATCAAAATTTAATTTGAAGAACATAGTACACACCTTGATGTTCTCTGAGCACTTGACGAAGAAGTTGCGATAACTGTCCAATTGCTTGTTCCGAATCCTTATGAAAGGAGCACCGCATCTGGGGCACTCTGCGAGGTCTAGCTAGACCAATTCATGGAGGTCGACCCCGTCATCACTGCTCCCCTCTACCCCTCATCATCCAGAATCTGGCAAGCGGCGACGACAATGGCTTCACGGCTCCGATGCCTAGGGTTTGGGTTCCGCCGCCGTTCGGGAGGAAGAGGGACAGAGCGAGCGAGAGGATGAAGAGAGTGTGAGCGGGTCCACATTGGTATAGGGCCATGAGCTCGTGACAATGGGATGGGGGCAACAACATCCATACGGAAAAATATGTATGGTCTGCATACGCGTGTAGGTGGGCCTAGGCACGTGAGAAACATAGAACATGACATTGATAAGAGAATTATAATTGTAACTTTCAAAATAGGTGAGATATCGAAACTTTAAAAATTGTAATTGGTACCGATCCGATTAACCGGGATTCTCGATGCTAAATATCCAAATTTCTGTGAATATAGTCCCTCCGAAGTCCGAACCCCCAAAATCGAAAGAAAAACCTCCTCGGCCGGACCTTAAACCATCTCCGGGTGGACCTTAACCATCTCAGGCGAAATGGCGGCCTCCGGTGAGGTCGCGTCGCTGCCGTCTCCGGCGGGCGGGGAGGATGCGCACCGCCGCCGCGTGAGCTATTTCTACGAGCCGTCGATCGGCGACTACTACTACGGGCAAGGTCACCCGATGAAGCCCCACCGCATCCGCATGGCGCACTCGCTGGTGGTCCACTACGGCCTCCACCGCCTCCTCGAGCTCTCTCGCCCCTACCCGGCCTCTGAGGCCGACATCCGCCGCTTCCACTCCGACGACTACGTCGCCTTCCTCGCGTCCGCCACCGGAAACCCGGGTGTCCTCGACCCGCGCGCCGTTAAGCGCTTCAACGTCGGTGAGGACTGCCCCGTTTTCGACGGTCTCTTCCCCTTCTGCCAGGCCTCCGCGGGGGGAAGCATCGGCGCCGCCGTCAAGCTCAACCGCGGGGATGCCGACATCACCGTCAACTGGGCTGGCGGCCTCCACCACGCCAAGAAGAGCGAGGCCTCCGGTTTCTGCTACGTCAACGACATCGTCCTTGCCATCCTCGAGCTCCTCAAGTTCCACAGGGTTCGTGTGCTGATTTAACTTCTACTACTTTATTACATTTATTTAAATGTTTGGATACTTGGCTTTGTTTTCGGAGGGGAGAGTTTATTAGATTGATTGCTGGACTTAGATGTGAATTTTTAGTGATTTTTTGATCGGTTCATGTGATTGTTGGGCATTTGTGATTCTTGTGAGTGGATGAGTAGGGCACTGATCTGGAGATTGCTTTGAGTTTCACAGGGGCAACAGATTTTGCATTCCCAATTCAGTAACCACTTAGGTTATAGGGGCGCTAATCTAAACTCTTGGCTCTGGTTGTTCAACTTCCATCATTGGAGGGGAGGGCTTATTAGGTTCATTACTAGATTTGGATATTGAATTTAATGGTTTCTAATGGCGTTGTTGTTAGTGTTTGGCGATTTGTGGGTAGTAGGGCGCCTTCGAGTTTTGCAGGGGCAAAATTTTGTTTGTCATGATGCCCAATTCAGAGACCCATGTGATTAATTTGTATACTATTTGTTTGCTGCCAGTGAAACTGGGAATTTTAAGGAACTGTTGTAATGCATTTCAGGAAGTTTGGTTGTCCTATGTGTAGATGTTTATTGCTTTATGCTATTAGAGCCTGGTATGTTTATGCAACTGCACATATTTAACTTTGACTGCCTTCTTTTTGTAATTTTAGATTGTCTATGTGAGAATATACTGGTGATCATCATTTTTTTTTGTATTTATAAACATCTTAAAAGGGAAATGACAAGTGGAAGTTGCTGTCATTACTCTATTCTAAACAGCACTGCCTTGTTGCTAGTACAAACGCTTTCTTGCAGCTTTTGCTGCTGCCTCCTAAAGGTTGTTTTAGTTTTTTTTCCACCATGGACCAACTGGCACCTGAAAACATATTTAACTACTACCAACGCTGCTACGCTTATTACACCGGAGTTGTTTTAGTTGTTCTGGTTGGTGTTTTTTTGAGTTTCAGTCGCGTGTGTTCCTTGAACAAGTAAGGTGTGGTATGAATTTGTCTCTTGTAAATATTTTCTCTACTTAAAGCAATGATACGAAGTCCTCCTGCGTATTCGAGAAAAAAACACTGCCCTGTTGCCAAAGAAAGTCTTTTCTACTTCTTTTGTTGAAACCATGTCTACTTTCACATGCATAGTTATTCTGTACCTAATGTGAACTAATGTCAGGTCTTATATTTACTCAGTGCATGCTTACTTGTGTTCTGCCGATGGCTTCTCCTTGAGATGGCAATTTTTTTTATCGGATTTGATGCTTTGGAACTTGGAAACACCATTTTTGGTAAAGGGATGTGTATTTCAGATGAGTACATGGTGAATGTGGTCCCCCCCCCCCAGGATCTAATTCTAACAATAGAAAGATGTGTTTGGTGATATTTAACAATATGGATATCATTACTGTTTCTTGGATTAATGGAGTTGATTTTTGTCAGTGGATATGCATGGAATGTTTTTTTTTGTTTTTTTCAAAACATGCTATTGCTCGTGAAATGGACGTCAATTCATGTTATTGTTTCAAGCATTGATGTTTTTTTGTCAGTGGAGTAGGGTGTTGATCTGGAGATTACTTTGTAGTTCACAGGGGTAACAGAATTTTGCTTGTCTTCATGCCCAATCCAGCGAATGTTTCCACTATTGGGGCTAATCTGGACTCTTTGCTTGGGTTGTTGTAGTGTTATATCACTTGAGGAAAGAGTTTATTTTGTTGCTTGCTAGATTTAGATGCAAATGTTCAATTGTTTTTGATAGATGGATGTAACTGTTTGTAGCATCGATGTTGGGGTTTGTTTTTTGATGAGTGATCCCCAAGAATTGGAATTGGCTTTGATTTTCACAGGGGCAATAGAATTTTGTTTGTCGTGATGCCCAATTTGGTGACCACTGCCATTATAGGCGCTGTTGTGTGCATGGGATAATTTTCGTTTGAGTTGTTTGTTTCCACTGAAGCTAGGAGTTCCAAGGAACTGTGCAATGGTGTGTTTCTGCCATTTTGAATTGTCATATGTGGATATGTTTATTTTATGCTATTAGTGAGGGCCTGGCCCAGTATGTGTGTAAAACCTTGCGTGTTTAACTTGACCACATTCTGTGTGGTCTTAGACTGCCTCTGGTCATCACAACTTTATTTGGATTTGTTGCCATCTTAAAAGGTAAACGACAAGTTGAAGTTTCTTTGGTTACTCTGCTTTTGTATTCAAAACTGTCCTTTGGCCAGAGCGCCAAAGAGAGCAGTTTGTACTTCTTTTTTTGAAAGTTGAAACTATTATTTTGTGCCTAATTTGAACAAACTCAGGTCTTATATTTACTCATTGCATGCTCTGTTCTGTCTGCTGATGGCTTATCCTTGAGATGGCAGAAGATATATTCAAATTTTATGCTTTGTAACTTGGAAGCGCCAATTTTGGTATGGGGGTGTATATTACAGATTTAATAAACGGTGAATGTGGTCCCCCAGGGAATCTAATTCTAATAATAGAAATATATGTTTGCTGATACTAAATGACTTGGATATCATTCACATTTCTTGGACGTAGTTTTACTTTTACCAGTCTATATGCATGAAATGTTTTTTGGGACATGCTTATTGCTGGTCAGGGTGGATATTTTGACCATTTTAAGTGTGAGATAGATGCCTCTCATATTGTGGTTTTTGCTTTTAAACTGCAAACACTATGCTGGTGACTGGTTTATGATTCTAATCCATCATTTCAGTCTGTTTCTTGTAAATACATATTTCATCCAGTTTTCTGCCACTTGAGTGCTGTAAGACGATTCTGTTCTGTTTAGGTTTATGTTTCCTGATGAAATATCCTCACTCATTTATGCATAATCTGTAAGCATTTTTAGATAAATACTACTATCGACAAATATGATAGTTAAGAAACAATCAAGTTTCCTTCGTATATGCTTCTTGTCAACCTTTTCTTCAGTCTATAAAATATTTTAGCATTCATACACACTATGCCACATATGTACTTTGATTATATAATTCTGATAGCTGTGATGTTTCTTTGTTCCAGCGTGTGCTATATGTAGACATTGATGTCCACCATGGAGATGGCGTGGAGGAGGCCTTCTTCACTACAAACCGAGTCATGACGGTTTCCTTTCACAAGTATGGGGATTTTTTCCCTGGTACTGGACATATAACTGATGTTGGGGCGGCCGAAGGGAAGCATTATGCACTGAATGTTCCCCTGAGTGATGGTATCGATGATGCCACCTTTCGTGATCTGTTCCAATGCATCATTAAGAAAGTTATGGAGGTTTATCAGCCAGACGTGGTTGTCCTCCAATGCGGAGCTGACTCTTTGGCTGGAGACAGGTTAGGTTGCTTCAACCTGTCTGTGAAGGGTCATGCTGACTGCCTCCGTTTTCTTAGGTCGTACAATGTTCCTATGATGGTTTTAGGTGGTGGAGGTTACACCATCAGAAACGTTGCACGCTGCTGGTGCTACGAGGTATTGTTTTTCTCTCTAATTCCAAATTCAGCTGAATGTGGTAGGTGTGTTCGAATTTATCATTTGCCAGTGCTGATAGAATTGGGTTGTAACACAGACCGCAGTTGCTGTTGGAGTTGAACCTGATAACAAGCTGCCTTACAATGATTACTATGAATACTTCGGCCCTGATTATACTCTTCATATCCAACCAAAAAGTGTTGAAAACCAGAATACTACAAAGGACTTGGAGAACATAAAGTAAGTGTACTGTTTGCTGTCAGTATGACATTCATTTGTTGTAACTTGTTCCAGATACTTCGTTGTTGAGCACTTGGAATGTAATGTTTTGTCATGTGGGGCAAGACATTCACCCACAGAGCAAAGATGGCAAGCGCAGCGAATCAGGAAAGTGGCTAGATTGGTGCCAAATTGAGGGCAATCCTGGGCGCATCATTAGCTGGTGTTAATTTAGAAGCTTAGCAAGAGTGATTGGGACATAATTAAGGGGTGATTGGGCTGCCTAATGGCTATGTATTCCGTGAGCTACCCTGAGAATAATCAAGCAAAACAACTGAATTGTTGCTGGGCTTCTCCCTGCGTCTGTCTCACTCACTCTTCCTTACGCATGCCCTCACGGCGCCCACTCGCCGCCAGGCGTTCAAGCCCCGGCCACCGGTCTCATACCCCTATGCCCTCCGTAGTCGCCGTAGGATCTTCGATCCAATAAATCTGTTATTGCCAGGCTCCGATGGCGGACACAAGCAGCCGAAGGGCCTTCCTGTGCCGCTGCCCGACGCCACGGCGAAGGCCCTGGCGGACCTAGCGAAGCAGATGGTCGCCAGTGGCTATGGGACGACGGCCTTCTTCGTCCCACATCTACCTTCACCACCCCAGGTGCCTCTGCTTTTGGGCAGGGTGCGGTGTTTCCATCCGAGGCGGGCGCGATGTTTCTGTCTGGGGGGTTGTCCGCGCCAATCGGCTGGCCGAACTTGCTCGGTTACCGTTCCTCCCGACGGCCCAGGAGTATACCGAGCACTTCAATGCACTGCTCTACTATACTTCGAACTTGGCGCCTGCCCAGAAGGCCGAGTTGTTCATGTTGGCCCTCGATCTCCCTGCACAGGTGAGCAGCAAGCTCACCTACACTCACACAAACTCACACAGCTGTAGGATGAAGAAAGGGTGAGCACAGAACACACACACAAGGAAAGTGCTGCTGCAGCTGCACGCTGGTGCTGCTGCTGTGTTCTTGAGAACAGAATACTCACTCACAGGATACTCTGCAGGTGTAGCAAACTGAACTGAATATTACATTACCATGGCTGCAATTATATACATAGAGGTAGCTAGTGGAGGTTGACTGCTGTAGCAGTCAAATCTAGTCTACAGTCCTACCTGGCTGCTAGGAACTTGCTAGGAAGTTGCTCTGCAGTTGCAAGGAAGTTGCACTGCAGTAGCAAGGAAATTACGCTGCCTGTGCTTGCAGCCAGCAGTGGACAGCAAGATATTGACCTATTGTCAACCTTCTGTCCAGCAAAACAATCAAGGGCAGCAGCAGACTATCTTAACAATCTTCCCCTAATCCGGCTGCTAACCCAAAGCCTTGATCTCACCCATGCCAATCTTCTTCTTCAGCTTCGAGTGCTGAAGTCACCCGAGTGACTTGGTGAGGATGTCAGCAAGCTGTCAGGCCAGTCTCGACGAACTTGATGACAATCTGTCCTCCATCGACGCAATCCCGAAGGAAATGATACTTCACGTCGATGTGCTTGCTCCTGTTGTGGAGGACAGGGTTCTTGGCGAGGGTGATGGCGGGCTGATTGTCCACCATCAGGGCTGGCGGACGAGCTTCCTCGCCAATCAGCTCGCCCAGCAGCCGGCGCAGCCAGACCGCCTGGCACGCCGCTGTGGCCGCTGCCACGTACTCCGCCTCGCACGTAGACAGCGCCACCAACTTCTGCTTCAACGATTGCCATGAAATCGGGGCTGATCCAAGGAAGACGAGCACGCCGGAGGTGCTCGGTCGCCCATCAATGTCGCCCGCCATGTCTGCATCGCTGAAAACTAGAGCTGTGGCCCACCTTCGTCGTCGGTCCTGGGGAGTGCTTCGCTGAAGACTGAGAGCTGCAGCCCACCTCCACTGCCGGTCTTGGGGAAGACGATCCCCTGTGCTGCTGCAGCTGCACGCTGGTGCTGCTGCTGTGCTCTTGAGAACAGAATACTCACTCACAGGACACTTTGCAGGTGTAGCAAACTGAACTGAATGTTACATTACCATGGCTGCAATTATATACACAGAGGTAGCTAGTGGAGGTTGACTGCTGTAGCAGTCAAGTCTAGTCTAGTCTACAGTCCTACCTGGCTGCTAGGAACTTTCTAGGAAGTTGCTCTGCAGTTGCAAGGAAGTTGCACTGCAGTAGCAAGGAAATTACGCTGCCTGTGCTTGCAGCCAGCAGTGGACAGCAAGATATTGACCTATTGTCAACCTTCTGTCCAGCAAAACAATCAAGGGCAGCAGCAGACTATCTTAACAATCTTCCCTAATCCGGCTGCTAACCCAAAGCCTATCTCTCACCCATGCCAATCTTCTTCTTCAGCCGAGTGCTGAAGTCACCCGAGTGACTTGGTGAGGATGTCAGCAAGCTGTCAGGCCAGTCTCGACGAACTTGATGACAATCTGTCCTCCATCGACGCAATCCCGAAGGAAATGATACTTCACGTCGATGTGCTTGCTCCTGTTGTGGAGGACAGGGTTCTTGGCGAGGGTGATGGCGGGCTGATTGTCCACCATCAGGGCTGGCGGACGAGCTTCCTCGCCAATCAGCTCGCCCAGCAGCCGCGCGCCTGCCAGAACCGCTAACGCACGCGCCTGTGGGGCGCTGCCACGTACTCCGCCTCGCACGTAGACAGCGCCACCAACTTCTGCTTCAACGATTGCCATGAAATCGGGGCTGATCCAAGGAAGACGAGCACGCCGGAGGTGCTCGGTCGCCCATCAATGTCGCCCGCCATGTCTGCATCGCTGAAAACTAGAGCTGTGGCCCACCTTCGTCGTCGGTCCTGGGGAGTGCTTCGCTGAAGACTGAGAGCTGCAGCCCACCTCCACTGCCGGTCTTGGGGAAGACGATCCCCTGTGCTGCTGCAGCTGCACGCTGGTGCTGCTGCTGTGCTCTTGAGAACAGAATACTCACTCACAGGACACTTTGCAGGTGTAGCAAACTGAACTGAATGTTACATTACCATGGCTGCAATTATATACACAGAGGTAGCTAGTGGAGGTTGACTGCTGTAGCAGTCAAGTCTAGTCTAGTCTACAGTCCTACCTGGCTGCTAGGAACTTTCTAGGAAGTTGCTCTGCAGTTGCAAGGAAGTTGCACTGCAGTAGCAAGGAAGTTGCACTGCAGTAGCAAGGAAATTACGCTGCCTGTGCTTGCAGCCAGCAGTGGACAGCAAGATATTGACCTATTGTCAACCTTCTGTCCAGCAAAACAATCAAGGGCAGCAGCAGATTATCTTAACAGTTCATGGGCGGTCATGCGGAGCACATCCGGATCAATGTTGAACTCTGGGAGCCAAGGGACCTTTAATCGGCAATGCACCTCGCCCGAGCGTATGAGCACCGGGCCGAGGCCATGACACCGGTGCCAGCCCAGCGCGCCATGTACCTTCCGCAGCGCCTGTTTCCAGCCCTCCCCGCCCCACCGTGCCCCGCTGCAGGTGCCTCGGCTGCCCCAGCCGCAGGCGCCCTGGCAACACCGACCACCGTGCCGGCGCGCCTAGGCCTTCCGCCGCCTCTCCCTGGCTGAGATGGCCAAGCGTCACCGCCAAGGGCTTTGTTACAACTGTGATGAGCCGTATGTGTGTGGCCACAGGTGCTAGCGCTGTTCTTCCTGGAGGCCTCAGCCTACATCGACGACGACGCGGTTGAGAACGTGGCTGCTGTGCTGGCAGCCGAGGACGTCGCCAACCAGCCCGTAATGTCCCTCCCTCCACGCGATCGCCAGCATCCGCACGGAGGACAACATGCATCTCTACGTCCATGTCCATAGTCACCACCTCCTTGCGCCGCTTGACTCCGACTCCACACACAACTTCATCAACGCCAGGGTCATGTGCCGCCTCCAACTTCGTCGATCGCCAACATGGGGGCAACCGTGGCCTACAGTGACCGTGTCGCTCACAACGTCGCCATGAGCATCGACCGCGAGGACTTCTCCTTCAGTTGCTACATCATCGATTTGGGTGGCTTCGACTTCGACCATGTCCTCGGCGTCGACTTCCTGCGCACTCTGGGCCCCATTCTGTGGGACTGAGGACCAATGCCGGGCATTCTGGTGAAACAACCGCCACATCTTCTGGAAGGGGGTGGGCTCCCCCATGAGGACGTCCAGCAGCTGGCTGTCCGCACCATCGTCCGGGCACCACAACCACCACTACTGGACCGCCTCCTACAACAGTACAGCGCGGCCTTCGCGGAGCCCCGCGGCCTTCCACCGGCGCGCCCCTATGACCGCCAGATCCACAAAGATCGGTGGCGTTTGCCCTCTTGCTACCCCGATTTGCGAGTAGGGCGGTGGGCGCCAGTGCGCCACAATGCTGGAGCGCATCAGGCAGGTGGCCTATCGTCTTCAACTGCTGGAGGGTGCCAAGCTCCACGACGTCTTCCATGTCGTGCCTCTCAAGCCTTACCGTGGCAACCCTTTGTCCACACCACAGCCGGTGCTACCCACTCACGACGGCCGTCTGCAACCTGCCTCGGAGTGCATCCTGAGCGCCCAACTTCGCCTGGGTGTCTGGCATGTTTTGGTGCAGTGGCGTGGCATGGCCCTCGACGACGCTACTTGGGAACAGCTGCCGAACTTCAAGGAGGTCTACCCCGACGTCCAGCTCGAGGATGAGCTGTTTGCGGAGGTGGGGAGATGTGGGGCAAGACATTCAGTCGCAGAGCAAAGATGGCAAGCATAGCAAATGAGGAAAGTGGCTAGACTGGCGCCAAATTGAGGGCAATCCTGGGCGCATCATTAGCTGGTGCTAATTTAGAAGCTTAGCAAGAGCGATTGGGAGATAATTAAGGGGTGATTGGGCTGCCTAATGGCTATGTATTCCGTGAGCTACCCTGAGAATAATCAAGAAAAGCAACAGAATTGTTGCTGGGCTTCTCCCTGCATCTCTCTTACTCTCGCTCCCTCACGGCGCCCACCCCCCGTTGGGGGTTCAAGCCCCGGCCACCGGTCTCATACCCTACGCCGTCCACAGTCGTCGAGAATCCAAGAATCTGAGGTCAGAGAGGCGTTGAAAAGGATGAAAGGAGGTAAGGCGATGGGACCGGATGGTATCCCAATCGAGGTGTGGAGATGCCTCGGGGACATAGCTATAGTATGGCTAACCAAGCTGTTCAACCATATTTTTCGATCGAACAAGATGCCTGACGAGTGGAGGAGAAATATATTGGTACCGATCTACAAGAATAAAGGGGATATTCAAAGTTGTACTAATTACCGGGGAATTAAGTTGATGAGCCATACTATGAAGCTATGGGAGAGAGTTATCGAGCATCGCTTGAGAGCAATAACGTGGGTCTCTATGAACCAATTTGGTTTCATGCCCGGAAGGTCAACCATGGAAGCCATTTTCTTAATAAGACAAGTTATGGAGCGGTATAGGGAGAAGAATGACCTACACATGGTTTTTATCGACTTGGAGAAGGCTTATGATAAAATACCAAGGAATGTTATGTGGTGGGCTTTGGACAAACATAAAGTCCCAACGAAGTACGTCGGGCTCATTAAGGACATGTACAACAATGTTGTGACTAGTGTTCAAACAAGTGATGAAGACATAGATGACTTCCCGATTAGGATAGGACTACATCAAGGGTCAGCTTTGAGCCCTTATCTATTTTCCTTAGTGATGGATGAGGTCCCAAGGGACATAAAGGGGACATCTCTTGGTGTATGCTTTTCGCGGACGATGTAGTGCTAGTTGATGAAAGTCGGACAGGAGTGAATCAGAAACTGGAATTATGGCGGGAGACTTTGGAGTCCAAAGGTTTTAGACTTAGTAGAACTAAAACTGAGTATATGAGACTTGTGACTTCGGCACTACTACTCGGAAGGAGGAAGATATTAGTTTGGAATGTCAAGTAGTGCCTAGGAAGGATACCTTTCGATATTTTGGATCAATGCTACAGAGAGACGGGGATATTGATGAAGATGTTAGCCATAGAATCAAAGCATGGTGGATGAAGTGGCGCCAAGCATCTGGTGTCCTATGTGACAAAAGGGGACCACAGAAGCTAAAAGGCAAGTTTTATAGGACGGCGATTAGACCTGCTATGTTGTATGGTACAAAATGTTGGCCTACGAAGAGACGACATGTTCAACAGATAAGTGTCGCGGAAATGCGTATGTTGCGTTGGATTTGCGGTCATACAAGAAGGGATCGAGTTCGGAACGATGATATACGTGATAGATTAGGGGTAGCACCAATTGAAGAAAAGCTTGTCCAACATCGGTTGAGATGGTTTGGACATGTCTAACGGAGACCTCCAGAGGCACCGGTGCGTAGTGGAATCCTAAGCCAGGATAGTAACGTGAAGAGAGGCAGAGGAAGACCGAAGTTGACTTGGGTAGAGGCAATAAAAGGAGACTTGAAAGGATGAAATATACCCAAAAACTTAGCCTTAGATAGGAGTGCTTGGAAAACAGCTATTCACGTGCCTGAACCTTGATTGCTTTTGCTGGGTTTCAACTCTAGCTTATCCCAACTTGTTTGGGACTTAAAGGTTTTGTTGTTGTTGTTGTTGTTGTTATATATTCTCCATGTAATTGCTTCATTATTACCATGAATGGTAGAATTTCCCTGTGATCTACGCCTCCTGAGAAATTCTCTCTTCTGTTGTATGGATTGATATTACATCAGTTCATTTACATGTTCTTACAATTCCATTTCTCAATGGTGCATCATCTGGACACCTATATTTGACACTACGCATGTTTTCCTGCCTGTGTACATTCCCTAACTGCAGATTAACCTTTCTATTCAAATCTGCAGGAACATGATATTGGAGAACCTGTCAAAGATAGAACATGTTCCCAGCACTCAATTCCATGACAGGCCGTCAGACCCTGAAGCTCCAGAGGAGGTTTCTCTCGTGCCTTTGTCAATTCCTTGTTTATGCTCCCTTTGCATTTTTCTTGTTTGCCCATTTGAGTATTTTGCATTGTAGAAAGAGGAGGACATGGACAAGAGGCCACCTCAGCGCAGCAGATTATGGAGCGGAGGAGCTTATGACTCTGATACAGAGGATCCTGACAACCTGAAAAGTGAGAGTAAAGACGTAATTGCCAACTTGCAGATGAAGGTTGGCCCTTCTACCACTGCACAACATATATTTCTTGGCTCATAAAATTGTTACGGGTAGTGGATACTGTCACTAGCCATGCCCATTCCTTGTTGATGCTGTGGAAGTCTCAGTTTGGTTGTAAACAGTAATTTTAGGGTTTTCTTGAAACAGTATTAGCTAATGTCAAGAACATAGAATGAACCAAAGACGAGTGTTTCTGAGCATGTTATGGCCAAATCTTATTTGTAATCAATACTTTGTCCAGAAAATACTGTCGTCTAAACCCAAAAGCTCAATTTTGTTGCAGGATGAACCAAAAAATGATCTGTAGAAGTTTCGGAAGTGCCCATGTTACCGAGTTGGCAATGGGATCGTCAACATGCATGCTGAAGAGCGGGGACGCATCTGGACCTGTCTGTGCTGATATCGGCCCCTGTGCAAATGTAACACACTGAATGTTTTTCCTGCGTGTCCCAAACTATTGAGCTGGAGAAGCGAACTGACTGTCCCCGCATGAGTTACTGTATCATTCCTGTAATCATTAGTCCATTAAATTCTTAAACTTTTGTTGTCTGTGATGGTTCAGAGCTGTATTGCTCTTTCTTTGATGGATTGATACATGCCGTATTTGGTCATGTGATTGACCTGCAGCTGCAGGAATGGTTACTGTTGGTGAGGATCGGGATTGGGGCGTGCCTGCAGGACGTTGATCCAACTTCTGCCCGAACAAAGAGAGGCCCATAACTTCTGCCCGAACAAAGGGAGGCCTCATCTTTTAATTTGGCCATCCTCGCCGTCAGTCTCCCGGCCGTGGAGATGTACATGGACAGTGACACTGGCATACTGAATTACAGTACAACGTCGAGCCCGGCCTGATTTTTTCTATATTTTCAAATCTATTTTTTGGTAAAAGTGTGTCGAAATCTAATATTGCAAAGCAATACTATTGTTGTCGTTTGAAGCGACGGGAACTATATACTGCTGGTTGAACTGGTGGAATATTAGTTACCGCCGTTTCAACTGACAAAATTTATTTTAAATTCTTTTTTTGTAAAAATATTTGTCAAAATCTAAAGATTGCAAAACTATACTACTCTTGTCGATCGAAGCGACTGAAAGTAACTGGTGGAGTACTAGTTACTGCCGTTTCAATTTTTTTCTATCAGCTCATCTTAAGAAAAAATCATAATTTTTATATATGAATTCGGAAGACGATAAAGTTTATACGAGAGTTATTATATAGAAAAAAAAAGATCTACAACTTTTTATAGATCTGAACATTGGATCAGTTATTTATGTATCAAGATAGTTTTATACGAAAATATCGTAAACTATAAAATTATAGATCTCTTAGGTATCTATGATATATGAATAAATGTTGTGTTATATGAAGAAGTTATGAGTTTTTTAAATATGTTGCACTAGCTAGTGGATAAATCGAGGCAATTGTTCACACCCTTACATAGCACATCTTCAAAGTTTTATAATTTTTTTTAACACAGTCACATATGAAGATATATATATATATATATATATATATATATATATATAAGAATTGTATTTAATGGGATTCCAAAAAAAAAGAATTGTATTTAATGGTGAAATATGTAACCTTTTATCCACAATATTTTCTTTTGAAGCCATCTTAGTACCAAAATAATCAATATAACGTTTAAATCTACAAGAGTTAAATGCACCATAGGTCCATTTGCTATTGCCTATGTGTCAACTTGGTCCATAAACTTTGAAAGTGGAGCTCGAGTCCTATTCCTAGAAAATTTTAAGTGGTTCACTGTAGATCCATATCCCTTTATTTGGCATTTAGATTTGACGTGACGTGTACACTCAGTAGCCAATGCTACGTGTAAATTGTAATTAGCCCCGTCTCTGTCCTTCTTCTCTCCTGTTCAGCCCACCTCATGGCACACATGAAAAAGTTATAATTGGCTGCTGAGTGTACTTGCCAAACGAAGGGTTACGGACCTCCAATGAATCACTTAAAAAGTTTAAGGACTCAAGACTCCACTTTCAAAGTTTATGGACCTAGTTGATACACATGCAATAGTTGATAGACATATGGTGCATTTAACTCAATCTACAAATACAGATATGAACATTATATCAATTATTAGGTATCATAAAGATCTCAAATAAAAAGTCATAAACTATAAATTTTTAGATTCTTTTTCCTACGAATTTGATATAAAATTTTCTTCATCCGACTTCACATATAAAGTTAGGATTTTTTAAGATTAGCTGGCATGAAAAAATTCCGCCAAATGATATATGGTGGTAACAATATACCGCTTCAGTTGGCGACAGTAACATAGTTTTTGCAATTTTTTATTTAGATTTTTCTTTTTGCAAAACACGAATTTTAAAATATAAGAATAAAAAGCTCCCCCACGTGCTACGGCTGTACTTCACGTTGGGGTCGGGGCCCAAAGGCCCGAAGCTCACCTCCGAGTAGGGAATGTGCCCAGCTGGGGCGGTGGTCTGAGGCTCTGAGGTGGTCAAGGAGGCAGGACGACGGTGACGGACAGTGCAGGCCCGTGTGCAAGAATAAACAAGGAGATGGCCCATCCACCAATACTTTGCCAAGTGTGTCTGGGCTCTCGAGAATGAGAGCATTGTTGAGTAACGGAGCCAGCATCAGTATACGGACGCCTGTGCTTGGTTAGCAGACATCATCAGCTCACTTAAACATACAGAGATATACACGGGTGGTTGTTCGCCTGTGGGCGATATGGTATGCGCGACGCCTGGCGATCCATGAGAACCAGTTCTAGAGCCCGCTCTCGACCCACAGTTTTGTCGAGCGGTTTATAGGGGAACTTGAGGAGGTCAAGCAGGGGAGTCTGGGGGCATGACTGGCGGCGGTACAGGTTCCGCGCTGGGTTAGACCTCCAAGAGGTTTGGCAAAAATCAATGTTGATGCGGCGTTGTCCAAAAATTCAGGCCAGGCGGTGGCGGCAGCAGTGGCCCATGATGAAGACGACAATTACTTGGGGGTGTATGTCCTGATGAGGGAAGGCCAATCGGACACGGAGGCGATGGAGGCAATTGCTTGCCGCGAAGGTCTTGCGCTGGCCAGTGATCTTGGCTTGCACTCATTCAGGGTAGCGAGCGACTGTGCCAATGCGGTGAGGAGTTTACTGAGCGAGGGGTTCGGCAGGTATAGACCCCTTGTCCGAGAGATTAATGCTAGGAGTTTCAGTAGAGCGGATTTCGTCTTCGAAGGATGGAAGTCAAATGTTGATGCTTGCTTTTTAGGTAGAAGCTCTATAAATTTATCAATAGGTAGATATGTTTAGTTTTTTGAGCCTCTGGACAGAGTTTGTAACTCTTATCCAACTGAATAAACAAAGTCAGACCCCCCCTAAAAAAACCAATACTACAGTAACATCAAGAGCCAGCTCTTGGATGACCGCTATTAATGATCACCAACGATCACGGAGGGCTGAGGGCACTCCTAATGCAGAAACCATCAGTAGTTTCTATATTCTTGGACATCGTACCCAGAAAACTATCCTTCAGATTGCAATGTTTCATTGTGCGTCTGAACTAATTATTCATCTTATGCTTCTTTGGATCCTCTGTGGTGGTGTTTGCGTTCTCTGCCTCGGCCACAATCTTACCCATGACAGCTTTGTCATCGCCTACATCTAGTAGGTAGGGGTCATGGAACGCCACAACCACCAGCAACGACACCGGGTCGAGCCATTGTGTGTTCCTTGTTTATATATGCTACAGAATATACAGATAAAGTTTACAGAAAGAAGGGGCAAGTGATGATGTTGATAGTAGGCTGTAGCAGAGTTTCCAGCGTGGTTTAAGTCTTAGGCCCTGTTCGCTTATCTTATAATCCGTCTTTTTTAGCTTATTTTTTTAGTCAGAATAGTGTTTTTCTCTCACAACAAATCAGCCGAAACAGTGTTTCGGCTTGTTTTTTCAGCGAAGCGAACGGGGCCTTAGTACGTGATTAGCATATTTTAGTTCTGTTAGGCCAATCATTGGCAGAATTATATGGCAACTTAGCGATGACGGTGGTTTCATGTTTGTGTGCAGATCGAGGAGCTACATAGAGAGAAACCAACAGAGGTCAGTGAAGGTTTGTATGCACTGTCATGTGGTCCTGATACCCGAGTCAGGGTCTGTGCAGCTTGCAGTATTAATTGAGTCAGGTATAGCACTGTTGACTGCAAGAAATCCCTGTGTACACATAATAGTGGTGTCATGACCGCTGGCACACATGAAGGAAAATCAGTGGAATTTTATGGTGTCCTTAGAGATGTTATTCAGTTGATGTATAACTCTAGCGTACAAAGCCATAGGACGGTGGTTCTTCTGCGCTATGACTGGTACAATCTTGCTGGCAATACGAAGTCTGCAGGCATTAACGATGACGGACATTTCAAATCTGTCAACATTATATCATTCACGTACAAGAATGACCCTTTCATTCTAATGACACAGGCAAGGAAGATTTTTTATTTGTAGGACACCTTCTTGGGCAAAGATTGGTGGGTCATGCAGAAGTTTGAACATAGGGATATGTATGACGTGAATAAAATAGAGCATCAAGTGCACCAAGATGATCACTGTTCTGACAACGAACATAAAGTGCTGGAGGGTGATGGTGATCAGGTTATGCACGAAGCTAGTTATGATGGAGAAGCCACTATCATTGAAGCCAATTTAGAAGACCTTCTAAGAGATAAGATGGAAGCAATTGACATACTTGAAGGCAGCGAGGATGAAGATGAGGTTGAAGATGATACTAGAATCCAGTATTGTAGTGATGATAGTAACTGTGGCGGCAGAGATCACATGTCTAGAAATGGTGATGACTTGTTGGAGATTTCATTTATAATCTTTAGGAAAACATGTATTCTAAAACTGTACTTTGCTTTGGATTTCTGGCATTGTATTCTAAACATGTTTAGTATGCTCAGCTGTTATAAACTTGTGCTTGAGCGGACACATAGGCTTTGTCCACCGGGGTTAGTAGTGCACTATGCGGACTGTCTGTTGTGTACATGACTATTCCATTCAACTGCAACTAGTACTTGTTATAGGTTCATATACACTGCATAAGCCATTGACATAAAGCATTCCTTTCACACATCATGCTTCAACCACTACGGCGAGATCATTCATCAGTTCTACCAGCATGCCAAGCATGTAAACTTATACGTGTTTGGTTTACCAAACCGAGGCACAAAGCAACACTTGCGCGGTTGCCAATAGTGAATTAAATGCAGGAGGAAAGCCTCTGCAGTTATTTCACTCAAAAAATGCAGTCACAACAGTCGAGGGGCAGACTGAAGAGTGAAGAGTAGTTTCTTTCGTAAGCAATTTCTCTTGGTTGGTTTTGCAGAGGCATGCAACAGGTAGCTAGAGATGGCTACAATTTTTATTATCCGACAAGAGATCAAATGGACAGCGGCAGACTTTCTAGCGTGTGCAGTAAAAATGCAATAGCTATGCCTCCTCCGTTGTGCATTAGATCGAGGCGACACTTGTTCAGATGAACTCCTTGCTGCATGGTTGTTGCAAGTTCAACAAATTTTACCAGAGACATACAAATAAGTTGAGTTGGGTTCACCACAGATC